TTAGAGAGATAACGTATGCCAGCCACACTGACTGCACGTGAAATCGATCGATTTTCAGCGCGTGTGTTTGTATCAGCTTGAAACTTTCAGCCAACCACCTGGCACGTGAGCATTGATTGGTTTCGACCAAGTGTGGAGTCAACGGCTTTCCCGGGCAGTTGGTTGTAACATCAGTTGTGCAAGTAAACGTTTTCAAGCAGTGTCCATTTTTTCTTCTTACTACTAAGCGGGAGTTATAACAGGTTTTAAACGGGGGGGGGGTAAAATTGAAGTCGGAACGGGACGATAAGGATTAAAAAGCGTAAGCGGAGGAATAAGAAGACGGGAAGTTTTGAGCAGTAGCATCCAAACCCCCTATCCACCCTGCTCGATGTAGCAAATAGGGCACCGTTGATGATCCTCTGCATTGGCTAGAGCATCAAGAAACTGTTTGAAGAGAAATTCATTGTATTGCGTGGGCAGCATACTGGCAGATTTCCCAGGCCTAGACAGGAGAACGATTAGGGTTCTCAACCAAAGCGTTTGGTTCAAAAACCTGACCCCAAGGCAGCGGATTTGCAGTGGACTACAAGGAGTCCGTTGTAAGGAATGAGGAGCCACCCACTCACTAAAGTCAAACCTGGAAGGCCATAAGACTGAGTTCGTCTGGCCTCTAACTATTGACCAATCTGGTTTGGGTGGCTCTGGAGGCGCAAAAATGCACCACCTAGCATAGCACGCAAACCATCGCACCACGGTAAGGTCCAGCTTCATTACGATGATTCGGTAAAAGATGACTTCTATCGCCAGCTAAACGAGCTTCGCCACAGTAGAAGCATGGACACTGTAGTGCTAGCTGGGGATCTGAACGCTCAACTTGGAAATTTGTCAACGGATGTGTTGCATCTGGGCGGCCATTTTGTTGTAGGCACCCGTAGTAATAACGGCGTGCGTTAATTCATTTGTGTGAAGATGCTCGCTTATTTCTTCTGAGCGCTATCTTCCGACACAGCACCCTTCGGAATGTGACATGGGGCCCACCAGTCTCCAAACAGCCCTTGACGCAAATCGATCACATCGCGATCAGTTATCGCTAGAGACTGCTTCTAAATCTGTCGCTCGATTTGAAGCGCATGCATGGACGACGACCATGCACTTGTGTGTGCTGATTTGCGAATGTGCTTTTGCGGACGTCCTCGACGCTCCAGTGAGCGCATAGGGACCAGCTAACTGGCGAAACGAGGCGTTCTGAATGTGCATCGAAGCAATCGGGTTGAGTAAGCGCTCATTGAATGCTGTTGAAAGTCACTGGAAACGGGCAGCAGGAGACCTATTGTTACTGTAACTAAGTATGACTAGAGTGGCTAGCCTATTCACGACTTGTCAAAATGCTTGGAACATTGGACTGAACATTCTGAAAAGCAAATTAATCAATCAGCATTGTTAGATTCCTCACCTGTCAGTGATCGCCCTGCTCCCTAGGCTGTCTCTTGGATCCGCCTTTTCGCTCAGAAGTCGAACTTGAGATCGGACTGCTGAAATTGAATAAAATTGCGCGGCCGATGATTTACATCCAGCCCTCTTGTAGGTTTACACAAATTACTGGTGAAACTTTGGAGGCAGGAAACTGTCCCAACCGGCTGGATCAGCTCCGTTATTGTCCCGATCTTCAACGGAGGTTCGCGTTCGGAATGCGGCAATCTTAGAGCACTGAGTCTGGTGTCCATCGCCTCCAAGTTGCTTGTCTGTCATCCTCCGCAGACTGACACTCGCGAAAGCCAGATTCGTGAGGAGCAAGCCGGTTTTTGTTGACTTCGCAGCCGCATCGATCACATCTTCACTTCACATCAATTGTTGGAGCACTGTCACATATATTGAGGGCCCACCTTCGTCATTCTCCTCGACATCAAAGTCGCCTTCGATTCAGATGACCTATGTGCTCTTTGGTACTGTCTACCCAAGAAATGTGTGCCCGAGCAATATTTATTCATTACCCGAGCGCTTTAGGCGCGTAGCTCAAGCAAGTGAGTGCTTACGGCAGGCTATCTCCACCCTTCCATGTCTTCAGCGGTGTAAGACAAGAATGCCCGCTGTCACCTTTCCTCTGCAACCTCGCTAATGACCAAGTCATGGAGATCCCGTGAACAGGACACGGTATACTCAGCCCGCGCGCGACTGGTGGTGGTCGCGAGGCAGCGAAGCGCCGTTACGGTGTACAGCTGACACATTATTATTATTTATTCACTTGGGTTACCGGTGAATCCTATAGTTCTGAATAAATCAGCAACACTGTTGCAGAAGCACAGCCCATCTCGCTTGGTAATGAAGTTGAAAAAACTTTGGTGACGCCTTCTCTGATCCGTAGCTTACACACCTTCATCCAGTATGTTCCATTCATTGAACCTGGATAGGAGAAGCTCATTATTGGACTTGGTAGGACTAAGGTCGTAGAGGTCTTTCTGATTGGGAAAGTATGCTTTTCTATCCTCAAATGCAGTTTCGAAATTGGTATATGTGTCAGCAGTATCTTGCTCACTGTCAGACTTTGTACTCGCTCTTGTGGATGGCCGATCCCTCTCTGGTGGAGTAGGATTGGGGAGATCGGGACAGTTTAATGCAGAGGCGATAGATGAAGTAATATCTGTATGCATGATAGGAGAGGCACTCCTACCAGTTCGACGTTTGGACGGGTCTAAAAAACAGAAGTAACGATTGCCCAAGTATTATATATGTTTTCTCCGGATTCTGGGGGGGTCGGATAATTATCCGCGAGATTTTTGTGTGTATGGATATTGCACCCTAGGCCTGTGCGACAACGAGGCAGCCTTATCCTACAGTCTTTGTTTCTTAGCTTATACGGTAAACTTTCTTGAGATACGGGCTGATAGTAGCTAGTTTGTGTCAGTAGACAAACAACTTTAAGCTACAGTGACACATTCCGCTTTAATCTTTGAAGCTATAGTGGTTCGATTTTTAAAAGCTGGCACCTGTGTTTGTTAGAGACCTGCATCTTGGCTCAGTTAAACGCGTGTCGGATCTTCAAATGCTGGTGAGAGTGGTAGCACACTATTCTACTAAGGGCATGGCATGTCGTGTTTTAACAACTGTACAGCACAACTTGTTCCCTGAAATTCAACGAGCCCGAGTAACGGAGGCCCAAGTCACATACCTAGTCATTTAAATGGAGTGGAATATCATGCAAAACTAAACATCCCGGTGGAATTATGCATCCATGCCACATGATACTGCACTTACATATTGAAAATTTCATGGATTATTCGGCACATCATTATTCCAATGAAACCAGGTCACCTTGGATCTCAGCCGTAAGAGACAAGTGTTGGGACTTTGTGGCACACAAAATTCCCATACCATCTGCAAACAAGTAAAGTTTTCCGTTTCTTATTGCAGCGACAAGAGAGCCGAGTGCATTACCTTGTAGCAGTCCACTAATAATATATTATCTTTAACGGATACTCCCCAATCTTGGTCGTTTGCTTTCTATCAGTGAGGTGTGATCCTGAACAAGATGGTACTGAGCATGTGATGCCACTATTGCGAAGTTTATGTATAAGCATTCTGCCTCAACGGCTCTTGCAGTATGAGGGTTTATGATTAGCTTTCTTTATCCTGCCCTGCCAATAGCATTGTGAGACAAGACTGCCATATGTCCCCGTTCATCTTCCATTTTGCGACTGAAGATGCCCTGTCGTGAACTCTGGTAGGTTACCAACATTTTGTTCTACAGCTCCTATTGGGGGAGCGAACGACGGACTTAGTTTATGCTAATGACATCACCTTAATTGGTGACGATCCGCAGAGTACGAAAATCGTTATGAATCGTTTGGCGATTGTGGCATCTACGTACGAAATGTGCTTCGTCTCATCGAAGTGTTGTGCTGTTCAAGGATGGGCACTCGCTCGTTCTCGTGGTCACTCTCGGAGGTACACAGCTTGAGGAGGTGGATAGCTTTGTCTAAGTTGGAACCTGTGACGTTATTTGAAAGGTAGTTGCCATCATCATCGGCACAGCTCGGTCAGTGGTTATCAATCTGAGTCATTTGTGGCGTCATCGCGATGTCTCCCACTTTGCAAGCTTCCTGATTTACAATGCCTTCGTTCAGACTCTTGTTATATGGAACTGAGCCGTGACCGATTCGCGTGAATGACATGCGTCGACTTTCGGCCTTGGACAATAGGTGCCTGAGTAGGATTGCTCTCATGTAGTGACAACAGCGTGTCTGCAGTGATGAAATTAGATGTAGTGTCTGATAGAATGTAAGTATTCCATTCAATATGTTGGTTTTAATGTGCTACTTGAGGATGTCTGGTCATGTCCTGTGCGTATTTCTGCGCGTGTCTCATTGTGCCTTGTTCGTTCGTATAGGATTGGGCTGAAAGTGGCCACATGGCGGTCAGCCATCCACCCGGCGACATCATATGATATCGCTGATTTCACGTCTAGCGACTATTGGATCCAAAGCCCTGCCTGCTTGGTGATCCGGTAACGAGGATTGTCGATGGTTTGAAATGACGTGCAATTTCTTAACTTACATCTTAATCTGCAGGCACTGATACAGCTGCCCAGGTAGTCGAATTTATGAACGACTCCTGGTTACTCTTCACCAAACGTCAGCCCATGGGGTTGGTCCTTGTCAGTCCTGGAGGAGTGCCATGCATGTTGAGGATATACAATGCTGAAACCCCCGAATTTCAATGCTCAGACCGTGATTGTTTGACTGAACTGAGCTGAAGACGTTGGATTAACCACCCATTCGTTATACTGAATAATGGCCGAAGCTCCTTGCAAGTGTTGTTAGGACTGGACACCTGACTTGTATTCTTCTCTTAGATAATACATGCTTTTCTTCGCATCCACCACGTTTGCAACTTACAATGCATTTGAGACACTGGTTTTCAGCTACCTAAACGAACTTGTTTTCCCTTTACATAAGCCACAGGGCTTGTCTTGTGTTCCTGACACCTGTCAACCCGTTTTTTATCATTTCACTCTTTTCCAGCTGGATAACTAGACTACCCTGATGCGTCGTGATGCGTATCCTCACCCGAACTTTCTTGGACTCTATCCCCTATTGTGAAGTGCAGCGATTCATGCGGCGCAGGTTTTAATTTTTGTTTTGTCTGTGTAGCCCATTTCCCTTCTGGTGATTTGATTTCCATGCCGGTGATTACACAGCCTTCTGGGTTGCCTCCATCGTTTCATCACCTTGTTCTGTCATCTCTTGGATTACTTCTCCTTTAACATTGTTCCTTGCTTAGTCGCTTTATGTCTCCTTTTTCTCTCAATCATTCCGGGCCTGTTTTTTCACTTTGGAAACCTTCCGAGCTACATAAGACGAATTTTGGGTCCTTCTAAACCACCGCTGCGTATATGTACATATCTTCTCATCTTCACAGCTATTTGCTGTTGGATTCACAGTTGGTTGTTAATACTAGATCCCTCGCTTGAACTTTATGGGTCTTTCTCCAATGTTCTCTGACGTGCCTACTTTGAAACGATGTGGTTCACTATTGGTTTTGCCTTTTGTCGCTTTGAATTGGTATGCTCCTCATCATATTTTGGGGTCGATCAACCTACGATTTTTATGACTCCAGCTCTGGGGTTGTTACCGTTTGCTATCTTTTTCTCGGTACGATCAGTGCTAGCTGCAATTTTTGACTCATGGACCTTTTGAGTGAGCGCGTTTGTGTTGCTTGCTACTTACCTTGCACTCTGTGGCGGCTTTCGTCCTTGTTTGCACCTTTCAAGTAGAAGAAGCCGGAGCTGGGGATAACACCACTGGAGTTCCGGTAATTGGCTAGATACAAATAATCGGTTAGCAGATTGCTTTGCGAAAATAACAGCTCAAGGTCACAATGTCCCCTCAACAGTTCCTTTGTGTACCAATAATCATATTTCTGTGCTTAATTTATGTGGCTGAGGTGGAGCCAACGGCGTTCCATTCAATGCGTGCAATCTGCTTACTGCGATACATCCCTGATTCCTATAGCACCATCTATTGTCAGTTGACACCCATTCGCAACTCGGATCACACATTGGCCAGTCTAGATGTTACGGCTCTCACACTAATCTTGCATTCGGAACTCCCTCATATCTGCCGATGTCACTACCCTTACGCTGACATAAGTATTCCAAATCCGGTATAACAGCCGCTGTCCCTCACCGTATACCTTTTGTCAGATCACATCAGTGACCATACCAAAAGCACGCACTTGCGTGCGCACCCTGTGTGTCGCTTACCGATGTGAGTTTGAGCGTCCGACAATCGAGGTAGGTTTCCTTAATACAGATCCGCTCTCTGTTGTCGTATATTCAAGTTTGATTCTACTCTGGCCGTGTCACATCGGCCTGCAGTTAAGATGAATGACCTAAACATGTACATCATCCAAAACCCTGCCGCCATCCCTGTGAAAAACAAATCCTGTTCCCGCTTCTTCGATCACCAGTTTACTGGGATCAGTGGAAGATAAACACAGCGTTTTGGTATTATTTCGTTTTACCTGAAAATACAGACTAACATCATCTACATACCCACGCAAGTGGGTTACAAATCAACTATTTCATAACACCCGTCACTCCATCACAGTAGAACAGCGGCATAGTATGAGGAAACAATCCAGTTCTTTGCTGTACGACATGGCAAGGTTACTTAAGCGTCTGATTCCAAAAATCGGGTGTCAGATAAGTGTCCTTTGCATATACTCATCTAAACTGTTTCGGAATACTGGTAGCTCAGGTTGATGATTCAATTGTTCATTTTTTCTCCGAGCTTGGCGGTTCCGTTGCAAACTTTTCACCATCATACAAGGTGACATCCTCAGTGCAGTGAGATGCAGTGTGCAATCTTACTGAATAAATCGTCCATCCGTGAACGACCTGCAGGTGCCTTTTGAAAGTGTCAATCTCGATTTGCATCCCGTGACCTCTACCTACTTTCCCCAGGACTGAAGTCGGCACCCAAGTTGTTCTTCCTTAAACCATGTGACAAAATGTTCTTTATTTCTTTCTGTCAAAGTGCTTGGTATATTGAATCAATGTCGACGCGCATGTTGATTGTTTTTCGTTGAGAATCAAGCTACCGAGAGTTCCCTTTCTTTTCTGGTTTCACTCCGTGCCAGTGTAATATTCCTTCTGTCCGGCGGTCTGAGCTCTTCCGTGTCCAGCTATTGCGATAAGCTGCAATGCAAAATAAATACTTGGTAGACGGCTGGACGTTTGAGCCGCCTAGTAAGGGACCGATGTAAAGGAAGCAGTTAAGAAAGCACGGAAGAGAGAAGGGGGAGTGCCGGAGAGAAATATGAGGGTAATGATAACAAGAAGCAAAACCGATCGACCCCTTAGCTGTTAACGTGTTACCGTGACGCCCGCGGACCGGTTACCCCAGTACTTCTGTTTTGCTCCAGTCGAAGCCATGTCCTTCATCTACGTGCAATGAAACTAACGATGATGCTTAATGATTTACACAGTATGAATGGATTGATTGAGTCGAACGCACTCTTGAAGTCGTGGAACACAGATGTCGATCTGCGGTACGTGTGACCCCGCTCTGGTGCTTGCCGCAATTTGAATATACGGTCTGTACAGCCCCGTCCTTTGCGGTAACCTACCTGTTCCTCCATCCTCCGGAATTTCCGTCCGGTAGCGAGCTGATGTACGGGAATTAAGGCTAGTAATTTTATCACCGCCTCCGTTAGATTAATACCCTTGTGGTTAGCACATTCGGTGTGACTAACATTATTGTGCATTACCACTGGTCATTAATTTACTTAGCTGGGATATTCTCTTCCTTCCACATCTATTCGAACATGTGGGCCAGTGTTTTGCAGAGATCCTTACCGCCATCCTGAAATTGAACGAATTCAATAGAATCCAGACCAACAGCTCGAATACAATTGAAGGTTGATTATCGAAGAGAGCAATTGAGGCTGGGATCGAGGTCGCTGTATTACCCCGTTAATCTCGACAGGTGGCTTCTCAGTTCCGTGTTGACATGTTGGGTGGCGCCTGGGATACTAGTCGGTAATCAGTGGCACGTAAGAGCCGTGTCAAATACGGGACAGTGTAGAAGTTGGAGGCGACTGAACCCAACGTATGTTGTGCAGGCTACAAAAATAGGAAGTGAAACAACCAGAGCGAGAATCGGTGCAGCAAGGTACTCACCAAAACCATTTGTGTCAACGCATGTAACCTCAGTAAAACAAATGGACATTTTGAAGGTTAAAACAACGGTAAAATCCAATGTTGCAAAATGCTGGAAGAACGTATTTTCCGGTCCACTACAAGGGACTTCACCTAGAAGGCTGAAGCATGGAAGCTTTCAATGGAGCTGAAGGGTGAGGATGGTTGCGAATAGTTTTATGGGCTTGAACAAGAGCTTCCAAGATGGGGTGTGAAACAGAGGTCGTTGGGTCCAGGCTTTTGTTATTAATTATTTATGATGATCGTGCGGACCAGAGTGCATCATCGTTTTGCCGTCAGAGTGGGCTGGTCGGACTGCAAGACAACTGACTAGTACAGAAAGAGGGCCGACTGAACATTCCCTCCGCTGCAGACCCGACGGTGTTCTTGGGTGGTTTTACCCCCCCCCCCCCCACCGCACTCCAGTCAACGGTCCTCGTCCCACGAAGAAATCCGGCGTCTTCATCGGCAACGCCTAGGCAGTTGTTTGAGGATCAACCTGTTCGTGGCTGTCTGCGGCCGAGAGCGACTGACTGTTCTTTGGGTTGGCTGGCTAGTTACTCGGAAGTTACGTTGAGCCGGTTGCCGAGTCACTCGAGGGTTGCCTTAGCAGTTCCGGCGGTTGAGTTTCTGGAAGTTAGAACTCAGGGGGTGGGCAAGGGTCGGGGGAAGTGGCTTAATGCCGGAGAGGATACCTAGCATGCATGATAAAAGCAAATAGGCTGTTTCAGTTTTCAAAATGTTTTGGTTTTTTTGTCGATGCATCTTTTGGAGAACTGAAATCAAAAACTATCGCTCTCACGATGCCGTTCTTGAAATCTAGGATTAGGCGTGTCAACTCATAACTTCCTTCTAACCGTGCACGATCTACCAGCTTAGAATTTTATGCTTTTGAAGTAGGCAGTTAAGCATCCAGCACACGACGAAGCCCCTGGTTCTGTGAATCCGTAGCTTATAAACAAAGATATCATGGCACAAATAAGCGAATGCTTTCGAAAATCCTAGGTGTGCAGTGTTAACTCCTAACTGAACCTTAGCGAGTTTTTTTCAAAACACACTGGTTGTTCTTGCTGCTAATACTGCATTTCTCTAAACGTGTTATACGGCGTAGTTGTAACAACTTTCCTAGCCAACACCATCTTTCGGGACTGTACGCCATCCCCACTGGAGACGATTGTTAACCACATGACGCACTCGAACACTAAGCGGAGAGGGACTGACCTCCAATAACAGAAGCCGAGGACAAATTGCGTGGCCTCTGCGGTATGCGCAGAGTCCAACGCGAGGAAAATGATGGGATGCGAAGTATGTGGGTTCATACAAACGAGAATGTCTGGACTCCGTTTACGTGTTGTGGGTTTTTTAAGTTTGAACATACCGTTTTGTTACAGAGTGGGCAGTCGTGTTTTGATCCTTCGACAGATGCTTTCTGTCCGGCGGCGAGGACAGTTGCGCTGCGATTCTGAATGTATCCAATGTACAACGGCAATTGGATAGACTAGTTGGTCTGTTCAAAGCCCATCCTGCGTCGCGGTTGAATTTTCCTACGGTAGTGAACTACTGTGTCATCTCTCACCGCGACATCATGCGACGTAACGCTACGGCGGGCGGTTATTTTGGCTACGATCCAGTGTGGGTGACCAACCCGGTGTTAACTGTCGTAAACAGAGACACCAACGATGAAAACGCAGACACTTATAAGCGACAGGATTCACTTGGAACGTTCGAGTGATGCGTTTCCATCTGGATCAACACAACAACAAGTCTGGAACTGGATAACGGTACTACTCACAAACAAATATGTAAGCAGCAAGAATACACACCTCAAAAATAACGCTTCCAA